ATAGATTGGTACTAAAATACTCTTCCTCCACTCATCTGGCATGTTTCTAGTCAACAAAATTTTGCTAAACAACCTAGTCAACCAAGCAACTCCCTTTTTACTCAAACACTTCCAAGCTTCAATAGGGATATCATCAGGTCCTCAAGCCTTATTTGATTTCATCTTCTTAAGTGCAATCTCCACTTCAAAATTTCTAATCCTGCGATAGAACCTATAGTCTTGGTTTATCGTATTACTGATTATTTCTTCCCTTATTGTCGTACTTCCATGTTCCTCATTTAATAGTTTCTCAAAATAATTCTTCCATCTTTCCTTAATCTCATCGTCCTTCACTAATACCTTAGAATCCTCACTCTTGATGCACTTTACTTGATTAAAATCTCTTGTTTTCCTCTCCCGTATCTTAGCAAGTTTGTATACCCTCTTCTCCCCCTTCTTACTATCTAGTCTAGTGTATAGGTCATCATAAGCTTTCAACTTAGTCTCTCTCACTACTTTCTTGACCTCCTTATTAGCCAATCTATATCTCTTAAGGTTTTCCTCAGTTCTATCCTTCTGCCACTTTTTAAAGCACTCTTTTTTTGCCTTAACTACCGTTTGGACCTCTTCCCTCCACCACCAAGTTTCCCTGGAGCTGGGTCCCGTTCCTTTCGACTCTCTAAGCACTTCCCTTGAGATTCTCCTCATACAATTGGCCATCGAATTCCACATAGTGTTAGCATCACCTTCTAAGTCCCAAGTACCTTCCTTATCCATTCGATTCTTAAATATTTCTAGTTTATCCCCTTTTAAGTCCCACCATCTCGTCCTACGACGCCCACCATCCTTCCTAGCTTGGTATTGCCCTCTAAAACATAAATCTAGTATCAAAATCCTATGTTGAGAGACCAGACTCTCTCCAGGAATCACCTTACAATCATTGCATTTTAGGCAGTCTACTTTTCTCATTAAGAAATAATCTATTTGGCTCTTAACTAATCCACTCTTAAAGGTTATCAAATGCTCCTCCCTCTTCTTATACATAGTATTGGCCACCACCAGGTCAGAAGCCAACGCAAAATCTAAGATTCTCTCTCCAGCCTCATTTTTGTCACCAAAACCGTATCCACCATGCACCCTTTCATAACCTACTTTATCTATGCCCACATGGCCATTAAAATCTCCACCTATAACCAGGTTCTCTCCTACGGGTATCTCCTGTAAGATCTCATCCATTTGCTCCCAAAAATCCCTCTTAGTCTGATCATCTAACCCTACTTGAGGGGCGTAAGCGCTAATACTGTTCACTATATTCCCTCCAATAACTAATTTAACTAGCATAATCCTATCTCCTTTCTTAGTGACCGCCACCACACTTTCCACAAGACCCTTGGCAATTATGATTCCTACCCCATTCCTGCGTCTATCCTTACCACTATAATAAAGTTTAAAACCAGTATCCTCAATTTCCCTAGCTTTCTCTCCTGCCTACTTAGTTTCTTGTATGCAAGCCATACTACCTCTCCTCCTAATCATAACATCTACTAATTCCATCGTCCTACCAGTTAAGGTTCCTATGTTCCAAGTGGCTATCCTAAACCTATAGTCTTGGACTAGCTTCTTTACCCGCGCTCGTCCAGAAAAACGCGGAAACCTTTGCCCATTTTTCACCGCACCCAGGCGTCGATGCGGCGCCCCTTGCTCACTTTTCGAAACACCCGGAGGCAGGCGCAACGCGTCACTTGAGGGGAACGACCTAGCATTTAAACGATTCAAAGTAGGATTCATTTTCATAAGGGATCCGAGCGGCTTTTTTACGTGTTGGCTGTCGGCTACCTAACACACAACCCTCCTCCTTAACCCGGGCTTGGGACCGGCGGAGTTGTTAACAACCCTTGGCAATTATGATTCCTACCCCCTTGCTATAAGAACGTGTTTAAATATTCCAAACAACAAGGCATAAGAGAGATTAAAAACAAATAAATAAATTAAGCAGAGTGAAGTTCTTAGCCAATAACATGTTTAAACATGGCATGCAAACAAGGCATAAGATATGCTAACAAAGAGATGAAAACAAGTTGGAGCAGTAGACTCAATTTCAACCACTAAAGCATGAGGCTCACAAATAATAAGATGTTTGTGGACTCTAAAAATAGCACCAAGTATGTGCAAGTGTGGCCCAAACCACAGCTACTTTAGATTGCACCCATGGCTCATGTTAACTGGTCCACATATATACTCAACGCAAAGTAGTGGGTCTCTTCTTGGACAGTGATTTATTAAGAGGTCACCATGTTGGTGATTTGAAAGAAATAACATGAATATTGAAAAGACTTCACGTAAGATATTGGCTAATGTTGTTAGTTTTTTGTTTTTTATTTACAAACAAAAACTTATTTGGTATACAAAATATTAGAAAAATAAACAAAAATAATAATAAATGAAAATTTTGTCGAGTAGTTGAAGGTGGTGGCATGTGGTAGAGGGTGGTCACCAATTTGGTGATCAACGTGTTGCCAAGGGGCATGGGGTGGTCAAAATGCCGTTGGAAGGTAATCAAAGGTCACGGTCAATGATTAGCTAGTTGCTGGAAGGTGGCCGAAACTTGTTGGAGTTCACTAGTGGTCGGCCAGAGGTAGGCAGAGATCACCGCCAACCATCCAATTGGTTGGTTGTGCCAGAGGTCGATGGTAGGTTTGGCCAAAGTGATAAGCAAGCTGAGCCAGAGTCATGTTCTCAACCTAAGACTAAGCTGCAGCCACAAACCAAGAACACATTCTGACCTGCAGCCTAGACTGCAACAAACAAGACCACAGCCAAGAACACAGACAAGATAGCAGCCTGAACTACAACCAAGGCTTCAGCCAGATACAGAGCAGCTAAGGCTACACCCTCACCCACAGATTCAATTAAATGCACATGTGATAAAACACAAGTTGTAAATAGTTAGTTTGTTAGAACTTAACTATGGTTAAGTCAAGTTGTTAGTTATGGTTAGGTTTACTAATGTAGCTTTGCATATAAGATACATAATATCTCTCTTAACTTTGATTCATTCAATTTAAAAAAATAATATCAGAATGCATGAAAATTACGCAACCACTTGAAAATATTTTTTTTTTCCCAAAAAAAAAAAGAAAAAATTGAAAATGAAACAATAAACTGAACAAATTGTCATTTCCATTTTTAAAAAAATAAATAAAAACGAGAACAAAATGCATAAAACATAAAACTAACAACATTACTTTGCTTGGTTAAAGTTTTCTAAAAACACTTTTCAAAAAATTTTATTTTCTTATTTTTCGTATTTTTTTATTTTTACTGAATTTTTTTTAATATTTTAAGTAATTTTTTTTAATTTTTAGACATACCTAACATAAATATACCTAAAAAGCAAAAAAATTGTGAAAAAAATCTTTCAAAAATTCACTAAATACCAAAAATATAAATAAAAAAAATACAAGAATTTAGTACATTTTTTGTATTTTCATGTATTTATTAATTTTTTAAAATATTTTTTCATAATTTTTTTTTTTACTTTTTAGATACATCTAAGTAAGGTGTATCTAAAAAGTAAAAAAATTAAATTAAATTTTAAAAATATTTACTAAAAACAAAAAAAAACACGAAAGCTAAAAAATTCAATTTTTAAAAAATTTAATTCAAAAAATTCAAACCAAACACACTTATCTTTCATTTTTTTTTTTTTTTTTTTTTTTTTTTTTGTTTCTTTAACAAAAGTTTTGATGATAGTTATCATTATTATCTCTAAGTAAGGGTTCAATCAACTTACGCAATCACTTATCAAATTGTAGTTTTTTAAATTGGAAAATTAAAAATAGATGGTTAGCTGGTCAATTTAGCGGCCAATAAATAACCCATCAATCAAACAAGCTAGCTTTATATCAGCCACTTACAATATACCATTGAAATTTGAACTGTAATGAATGAATTACTTTATCTATCTTCTTATGTAAGCAAAATGATAATTGATTAGTGAAAGGTAGATACTCTATGGTGGTAATAGTTAAAGGGCTGTTAAAATAATTTGTTCATGTTTACTGTGTTTTCGTTATTTGTTCACGGCGAGAAAATGGGTTTTTAGAGGCGTTTAAAAACGCCACCATAGGTCAATAAAATGCCTCTAATTTCTTTTGTGACGTTTAGCACCAAATGTTGAAGATGTATCCGTCGCTATAACCTTATGGCACTTTAGAAATTGTCATTATATTACTATATGCGGCGTTTTTAAAAACGCCACTAAATGTTGTACATAACAGTAAATGCGTCACATGATTTTTAGCGACAGTTTGAAAACGCCGTCATAGACATTTGTACAGTTTAAAAATCTAGCCTTTGGAATATAGTGATGCTTAAAAATGCCGTTATAGCCTCTCTCTCTCTCTCTCTCTCTTTTTTTTTTTTTTTTTTTTTAAATTGTACTAATTTTATATGATTGAACTAAAACATACCTGTAATAAACAATTATTAAGAACTAATAATTGTTGCTTGCTAAAATAATAAATAAATTAAGCTTGGAAACAAAATAAAAATAAGAAACAATGCATTCCATACCCAAGAATAGAAACGATTCATGTTTAGACTTTAAATACATCAGTTGAAATTAAAATGGTCAAGAAGTCAAATTACTTAAACTTCAAAAGTAGCTCTCATTAGTTCGAGATGAACATTTAAAAGAGGTGATTGGCCAAAAAAATTGCGTAGAACCCCGTAAGCTGTTTTAACAATTACAACCTTCATGAGAAGCCTACCAATCAGAGTATGCAAGACTTGTGTAGAAGCCCTGATCATCAATATCTATCCTGAAAGTATCAAGGACGATAAGAAAAATTAATGCAAGATGCATCAACCTGGATTCTACAGAAAAAAATTAATGCAACTTTCCTTTCAAAGGTTGGACGGCATTGGTGAGACAGGTTGCCAAACAATTCCCATATCTACCAATGGATTTCTCTCCGAAAAAAATCAATGGTATGATCAGAGCAATCCAAATCTGAGGGCATAAACCAAAGAAAAATATATATATGAAGCACAAATAAGAGAATATTTTTTCTAATCAATTATTTACATTTACAATACTGCGACTCACAGCTTCCCTGAAAATGAAAAAAAAAAAAAAAAAATCAAATGATTGCTTGTATAAATTGTATATCCCAGCAAGAGTGTGCAGCAGTTGCACATCGTCCAGAGGTAAGCAAACCAAAGCAATGACACTTTAAGCCAGGTGGTATTATTGATAGAGCTATTGAAGCAGAAGAAAAAAAGCATGGACACATCTTGAGGCTAATAGTGCTATTTTATCTAGTTCCTCTTTCAGTTGTTTACTTGATTTGATATTGTCCTTATTTGTTAATTAGGGAAAACAACCTATCAGTCCTAATAGCTATATGATGTAATATAGCAGTATATACTTCCTTCACACTCTTCTTCCCAAGCCTCACCAAAAACATTTAGTACCTTGATGTATACACCAAAAACTCATCCCTTTGTTTAGACCAACAACATGCATTTGCCCTTGCCACAGCCTACACATATAGATAGAATGCAATAAGTCAAGTCACCAACAGTTATAAGTAGAAGACAATTGAAGAAGCTAACAAAACAGGGCCATCCTCAAATATCCTCTAGTCAAGCTGTTAATACATAAATAAAATACAAGTAATTAACAATCAATAGTTCAATATACACAAAATCTATAGCCCAAAACCTATGGTCAAAACCCAAAAGAAACTAGTTTTTGTGCTGGTCTCGCGATTGGCTTAGAGTCCACAGTGAGATTATAAATGTTTTGATAGTAGTAAAACAAACAACCAAACAATGGTATATGATTATTTATTGGTAGATTTGGGTAGAGGAATTGTAGATTCTCTAACAAGAAATAGATTCGTATCAAATAGTGTTACAAATATCTAGCTGCACAAGAGTCCAAAGAAGAGCTCACCTATAGTAGATATCGTACTCGTCTGTAATAGCCCAAACCTGCCCACATCTCATTTACCTCCTGCACACATTAAGCTAACGTTTAATCCCAAATATCTCAAGATTGTTGACACAAATTTGATCAATCAAGAAACCAAACAAACAGAGGAAGAAACACAAAACCCACATAATTAACCAATCAATCAATTACATAAAAACTGAAGAGTTGAAAATTTTGGTACCTGCCTTTGGTTATACCAATTCCCAATAACAGTTGAATGCAAAAGCTTTCACAACCTGAGAAGCATTAGCATTTTTAGAATACAAGAACTCTAACCACCAACCTAAGTAATGGATTGGTTTGGGGCAATCTTTTATAATTTAGTAATTAAAATTAGAAGTTAAAAAATTACATATTTACCATGTGTAGTTTAAAAAATTGAATGCGCCAATGCGCATGTTTGCTTGTGAAACTCCATTAGAATGTATAATAATAACAATATCTTACTTTGAGCTTCATTTTGCTTCCTGTAATGTTACCCAAATTCTAAGATAAATGTGAGAAAAAAAAAAGAAAAAAGAAAAAAAAAAGTCAAAAACTATAATAATCGAAGACAAAGACAATATACAATAGTTAACATATAAAAAAATAAGATCATTCGTCAATCAAAACTCTAACCACTATCTTCTCAGCAGCTTTATATATTTTATAAGAACAATAATGTCATTCTACTAACTCCACCTATGTGATGATGTAGAATAGTTTTCTTTTTCCACAACCGGTCCTATTAATTGCTAGTATTTTTCTATTAAGGTCATACTCAGCTCATAGGACCCTTTAATTTTACATGTTTAGTATTCTAATCACCTATCAAAAAAAGACAATCGGTAATAAGGTAACAGGGATGGGCAAACCTGTGTATTACAAAACCAGCAACCTTTTTTTTCTCAAAGGAGTAAACAATCTTTTCAACAAACTCAAATGAGTCCTTTTCATCTTCTTCTACTGCAGAATATATAAATATATATCTTAAAATCCTTTCTAAACTATTTCAAAACACATTTCTCTGTACTTGCTAATACTAAATGGACTGTCAACAAATTAAATTCTATGTCAAAAACTAAACTAGAACACATTTTCCAACTGCTCAAAATAGTATTGTGACTTAAACATAAATCCAATCAAAACTAGAAGAAAGTAACAAATAGAATTTGGACCTGATATTTACAGATCTGATCGGAGAGATAGCAGATTTGAGAATAAGATCTACATCTCTAGACCGTTAACTTCTACACACGGCCCATCTCGATTATATTAGCTGTTGATTGTCCGGAGACATTGACCCTGCACTCAAAACCCTAGGCCTTAGTTGCACGAAGCGGGAGTGGGAGCGGATAAAAGTTTCTTAGGTTGGGAGCGCCTCGGGAAGCGGTAATATATATATATTTTTAATAGTTATTTCTAAAATATATTTATTATATAAAGGTGAGTTAAATAATTATTTTTAAATATATTTATTATTTTTATCTTAGATATTATTTTTATAGATAATATTTTTAATTTATTTATATATATTTTTAATTTTTAATTGATATATATTATAAATAAAAAACAGTAAAATAATAAAATATGTTAAAAAATAGTAAAATAATAAAAAATAGTAAAATAATGATTTATTTTATAAATTTTATTAAATTTTTTTTATTATATTTGATTTAATTAGATTTATTATATTATTATATAACAAATTATATTATTTATATAACAAATTATATTATTTATTATATAATTATATTATTATCATTATATAACAAATTATATTATTTATTATATTTATTATATGTTAGAAACGGGAGGGGGAAGACGACGCAGAAGAGAGAGAGAGAGAAGAAGAAAAAGCAGAAGGAGGCGAGCTGCTCGAAGGCGAGATCAATCGTGATGGCGATGGTGAAGGCGATGTGGAGAAGGCGATGGCGATGGCGATGTGGAGAAGATCGATCGCGAGCAGATTGCGAGAGCAGATCGAAGGTCCAGGCGATGTCGAAGGAGAAGGTAGCAGCGAGTTCAGGTTTCTCTCTCTCTCTCTCTCTCTCTCCCCCTTGCGATCCCATCTTGGACTGGATCGCGTTTTTGTCTCCACCGAAACGCGATTCCTACACGTTTCTTTCTAGGAAGTGCGGAATCGCGGTTCTGACTCCGAATCGTCACCAGGTTGCACGATTCCTGCAACTAAGCACTAGACGAAATCCATTCGCCATTAATGAGAAGCGCTTTCCATGTATCCCATTGCATGAACTAGAAAGAGCAAGAGACCACAAACGAAGAGAGAAAAAACACAAAACAAAAGCAAAAATGCAAGAAATAAGCTAGATTGGGGAAAAAATGCAAGAAATAAGTGAATGTTCAGACATCAACCAAAAATATACTACAAATCATTGTTTTAACCATGAGATTTTATAGATCTTGAGTGAAATTAACGAATCTAGGTCAAAAAACCCTTACCTTGAGCCCTAGATCAATTTAGATTAGAGGGATTCGAACAATCTTGAAGATACGCTAAAGTCAAGAGGAAGAACAAGATTTTCTAGATCAAAATCACCAAAAATCAATGGAAATCAAAGAACCAGCCCTCTCTCTCTCTCTCAAGTCGCGTCTCTGTTCAATCAACAGAAATAGAAAAACATCTCTAGATAGATTTGGATTCCCTAGGTACAATTAGCTTTATAAAAGGGGGAAAAAATCCCTTGTTTACATACACAAAACTGTGTCATTTTACTGGTACAAATGTTACCCACCGTTTCATACCCAGTTATCCCACCATTTGCTAATAAGCTAGTATAGCATAATCGTTAATTTAAAAGATTTGTTAACAGATTTGACGGCATTTGTCCAAAACGCCACCAAAAAAATATGGTTATATCTCTATTTTCCTGTAGTGGTTTTTGTATTTGTTTGGCTAATTGTTTTTGAATTTTTTTTTCCGTAAAAACAGCCAACTTTTTAAGGCACACCAAAAAGCTGTGTTTGAAATTTAATTTTTCTTTTTTTGAACAAAAATAAAAATAATTTAAAAAACGTTGGGTGTTTTTGAAATTTTATTTTATTTTATTTTTTTGCTTTTGAAAACATGAAAAACTTAAAATTAATTAATTAATTCACAAGGTAGCATTATAGCACCCACTTAGCATATGCCATACAGGTTTGAACAGTAATGAATGAATGAATGAATTAATTATCTATCTTCTTATGTAATCATGTAATTAAAGATAATTGACTAGTGAAAAGTAGACACTATATGGTAATAGTTTAAGGGCTGTTAAAACTAAGATTCCAAAATTCATGTTTAGTTGTGTTTTTGTTTCCTGCAATGAAAATGAAGGGTATTTTCAAACTTTATATTACTTTGTTTTTAGAAAAGCATGAAAGACAAAAATAAAGAAAATGAAACCACAAACCAAAAATGCCTTAATTTCTGCGTTTATGGAATTTACTTAGATTTGTATGGAGAAAATAGGATTGACCAGGTATAAGTTGTTTCAATTTTGATTTTCTAATACTCCGTTTGGATCGTGAGGTAAGGCAAAAAAAATAATTGTGGTTTCTCATCTAAATGAGAAAGAAAAAAAAAAGACAAAAAAAAGAAGAAGAAATGATTTTGATGTCACCATTATGTTTGGATGAATAAAAGAAAAGAAAAGAAAATGTAGGTTGCGTTTGATAGAGTTTTGTAAATATAATTTGAGAATATGAGTTGTATTTTGAGTTTGTGAGTTTTGTAATTATGATTTGAGCGTAGAAAATTTGTTTGGTTATGAGTTTTGAAAAGAGTTTTGAAATTTTTTTTAAATTAAGTGGGGAATTTTTGATGTGACATGTGATATTTGATACAAAAACTAACAATTCATAACCAAACACACAACTCAAAATTCTATACAAAACTCATAAATTTTTTTTTAAAAATTCGGAAAATATTTTTTATTTAATATATAAAACAAAACATGTGTCAATTCCAAAAAAATAAAAACTAAAAAAATTTCATTGGTGGGGACGTCCTGTGAGACATCCGGGGGGTCGACCGGGGGGACATCCAGGTGACTGAGTTTTCAAAGCAAAGCGTGGAATTGATTTTTAAAAACCGTAAACAAACACGCAACTCAAAAAGACACCTGGAATCATATTTCCAGAACACAACCAAACAGAACCGTAATTTCTCACCTATCTTGTTTGGATAGAGTATAAGAGAAAAGAAAGGAAAATTCTATTTCCACACACTAAGTTCCCTTACTCTACACACTTGATGAATTTTTTTAAAATCACAATTTTATCCTTTAACAAAATTACCATCTCACCCACCACCATCTCACCCACATATCTCACAATTTCTCCATACAGCATCTCACCCACCACTTCTCACAATTTCTCAATATATATATATATATAAGAAGAGTATACATGCAAAGTACCTCTGATGTAACGCTATTGGTAGGGTTTAAGCTCAATTCTGGAATAACTATAACTCGAAACGGTGAAGGAATTGTACGGACCACCACGCTGTTCTACTTAGTCGTACGAGATAGTACCTCTGATGTAACGCTATTGGTAGGGTTTAAGCTCAATTCTAGAATAACTATAACTCGAAACGGTGAAGGAATTGTACGGACCACCACGTTGTTGTACTTAGTCGTATGAGAAACAGTAGCCGAGAAGACATAAAAAAATTATAGACATGTATGTGAGGCAGAACAGATTCAGATTTAGAGAAAAAGGGCCGAGAATCGAATTCGAGGCCATTGTTTGATGATTGAGAGAGTTCTATGAAATGGGTTTGATTAGTTTAGTAGTATGAATGTTGGGTTGAGTTTAGAACAATGAGAGAAGAGAGAAGAGTGAATGGAAGGAGAGGATGTGCACAGAGGAGAGGGTATATTTGGAATGTGAAGTGTGTGGACTGAGATAAAGAAGTAAAAATCAAATTACTAAATGTGTAGATTGAGAAAAGATGTACACAGAGATAATTTGGTGGGTGGAAATAGAATTTCCCGAAAAGAAAGGAAAGTGTTGTATTTCATTTTACCAAAATAACCTTTGATATTAATAAGCTATGTTTTTCCATGAGCGTAATTTGGATATTTTAAAGAACTTTCATTAACCTCAATTCATTTCTCACCAAATCTTATCACTTTTGGTGAAAAACAAAACATAAGTTTAGTGAGAATCCTTTTTTAAAATCTCTCATCATTTATAATCCTAACAAGTAAAGAAATTTTATATTCTCACCATTTCTTTTCTTTTCTTTTCTTACCAAATTCCTATATCCAAATAGAGTGTAAATGCCATTATAACTATGATGTGTAAAGGTGTGAGAAATTTTCTAAAACGTCAAGTATACAAATTCTATATGTTATTTTATTTTTATTTTTTTTATAATCAGGTATTTCAAGTCAGCTTGTACGTATTTTGACTAATTGTTATTTTTTTATAATCAGGTATTTCAAGTCAGCTTGTACGTATTTTGACTAATTGTTAGACCTTGAAATTAATAATCAAATAAATTTCAAAGGACTTTAAAATAACTTAAATTCAAAATTTTAAATTTTATTCTCAAATCCTTATCGCTTCATCTTCGTATGTTATGAGACCAACAATTAGCAATCTTAGGATTTTAAAAGTATAGTCCAACTTGCTTGGAATATCCCAGTGCCAGAAGTTGACACACACACACATATATACATATATATATATATTCATTTTGATTGAGAATATATCAACGAGGGCCATAAATTACATTGCTTATTTTTTGAGATGTGAAAAAATATAATAAATTATAAAAGATCATAATGCAATTATGTCAAACTCGTAAAATTCGACTTATCTTTCCTAAATCTCAAGTAAAATTAGTGTAATTTACTCTTTAAAATATAATAGGTCATACATGTAAATTTTTATTATGTAAATACACATAAAATGTGAATTATATATTCGATTATAAATATGTCATTTTTCTATATCAAACCATAATCCAATAGAAAGTAGCCACAAAAATGTGGATAAATCTATTAAATTACATTGCTTATTTTTTGAGATGTGAAAAAATATAATAAATTATAAAAGATCATAATGTAATTATGCCAAACTCGTAAAATTCGACTTATCTTTCCTAAACCTCAAGTAAAATTAGTGTAATTTTACTCCTTAAAATATAATAGGTCATACATGTAAATTTTTATTATGTAAATACACATAAAGAGTGAATTATATATTCGATTATAAATATGTCATTTTTCTATATCAAACCATAATCCAATATAAAAGTAGCCACAAAAATGTGGATAAATCTATGCCACGTAGTAAAAGTTACACATTGACGAATCTATATTGTCCATTCTTAAATTGAAAGTTACAAACCATTAAAAATTTCAAATTAAAGTTGGCTATGAATCTCAACATAAATAAATAAATAAACATGCTAAAAGAAAAATAAGAAAAATAAGGGCACTTACAGTTATAATCTAGTGTACAAAGCGTGTAGAAATTATGAAGTTGGACACTAGGGTTACACTTTTTTGGACCACTTGTAACCATCTAATTATAAGATTAAAGTCCCATTCGGCAAGTTGATTTCTTGATTAAAGTAGTTAAAAAGTTAAATAATAATAATAAATTAATAAAAGGTTAAAAAATAGATAGAAACCCTAATTAATTATGTTAAATAGTGAATCTTGGGCCCAAACCAACCTTAGTTGGACAAAGCTAGAAAAGTAGTTTGAAAAATGATTAATGGAACTTTCAAGGGTGTTTTGTTGTCTTGTCCACTGTGAGGCCCATAAATCTACGTGGGGACACTTCAGCCCCTTGTTCATTTTGAACAAACAAACAACCCTTACTTAGGATTAAAATGTTATGACAAATTCAAATATATATATATATATATATACATATACAAACAAAAGAAAAAGAAAATAGAAGTTAGATAATATTAGTCAATTGGACCTTAATAAAACTTGCAAGTTAACACAAGTTAACATGTTATTTTACAAGTTAAGAAGATGGTTCAATTATTGGGATTCGGAACAATCTTGAAGATCATGACTTAAAATAATACGAGAATGGATAAATTACATTTTTCATCCTTCAACTTTCATTTTTCAGAAGGTTGAGGTAATATATTAAGAAAGAAAAAAAAAACTATGTAGGTCCATATATTCAAAACCAACCTGTATATTATTATTGTAAGAAACGTAGCAAAATAAAATCCTTTGGAGTATATAAAAGCCTGCCTGGAAAAGTAGTTGTAGATGACGGAGAAACAAACAGACTCATATATAAAAGCCTGCCTGGAAAAGTAGTTGTAGATGACGGAGAAACAAACAGACTCATCTCTTCGTCTCCCTTGTTCACTCCAAAATACTCATCTCCATCTCCATACCCATACCATACCCATACAAAACAAAATCAACCCAACCCCTCTCTCCCCCTCTCTCTCCCCACCCCCTTTTGACCCTTTTCATTGTTCCTCGCCTGCAACAACCAATCCTTTAAAACCCTATTCATATTCTCAATCCTACACACACTTTCTCAAAAATGGTTAGCCCTTTCCCTTTCAGGAGGAAAAAGCTTTGAATTCTACTTCATAGACCCAGAATTAGCCACCTTTTTTTGGGCGAATCTGGAGTCATCAATCAAACCATGTTTTCTATTATTACTTCTTTGTTTCTTTTACTTGTATTGATTATTTTTTCATTCGTTCTAGTTCGATTGTTCTTGTATCGAACTGCTTTGATTTACGTTTTGAAGAAATGGTTGCACTGGGTTGAAGACCGAGTTCACGTTTACCAGTTCTTCAAAGTACCCGAATTGAATGAAAACTCTCAGGAGAATCAATTCTACAGGAAAGTGTTTGCTTACCTGAATTCCTTGGCTTCGATTGAGGACTCCGACTTCACCAATCTCTTCGCTGGGAGGAAATCGAACGATATAGTTCTCTGCCTCGATGACAATCAGACGGTTCATGATGAGTTTCTCGGAGCGAGAGTGTCATGGAAGAACGAGATTGGGAGAGGCAATGAGAAAAGTTGCACAAGGACTTTGGTGTTGAGGATCAAGAAGAAAGACAAGCGTCGGATTCTGAGACCTTATCTTCAACACATTCACAAGGTTTCTGATGAGATTGAACAGAGGAGGAGAGAGGTGAGGCTGTTCATGAACACTCACTCCGATCATCACAGAAACGGACGGTGGATATCGGTTCCTTTCACACATCCTTCGAGTTTCGACACGATCGTCATGGATTCGGATCTGAAGAACAAGGTCAAATCCGATCTCGAATCGTTTCTCAAATCGAAACAGTACTATCACCGACTAGGCCGTGTTTGGAAACGGAGTTTCCTTCTCTACGGTCCCTCCGGTACCGGAAAATCGAGCTTCGTCGCCGCCATGGCGAAATTCCTCTGCTACGACGTCTTCGACGTCGATCTCTTCCGAGTCACAGACGATTCCGATCTGAAAATGCTTCTATTGCAGACGACGAGCAAATCAATCATCGTAATCGAAGATCTGGATCGATTCATGGCGGAGAAAGAGAAATCGACAACGGTGACCCTGTCCGGTGTACTGAACTTCATGGATGGACTTGTGAGTTCGTGTTGCGGAGATGAGAGAGTGATGGTGTTCACGCTGAACAACAAAGAACAGATCGATTCATCGATACTCAGACCAGGACGAATCGATGTTCATATTCATTTTCCCCTCTGTGATTTCAATTCCTTCAAGAGCTTAGCGAATAACTATCTAGGGCTCAAGGATCACAAGTTGTTTCCACAAGTTGAAGAGGTGTTTCAGGGCGGAGCGACGCTGAGCGCGGCGGAGATCGGCGAAATCATGATCGCCAACAGGAACTCGCCGAGCAGGGCGTTGAGGTCGGTGATTACGGCGGCGAGAGTCGGACGGCGGCTGAGCGAGAGCAGCGCGGCGGAGTTCTCCGGCGAGCTCGGTGGCGGCGGAAACAAAGATGGTGGTGTGCCTGCGATCAAGGAGATTCGGAAGTTGTACGGTATATTGAGGTTACGGAGCAGTAACAAAATTGGACCGTCTGATCATGAATCAACGCAGATCGTCAAGTGAGGGTATACGGTGGGCCTACCTTAGTTAAAAAAATCGGATGGCTAAGGCCGTGTACACCAAATCTGATTCGATTGTTGCATAGTTTGTAGTAGTTTTCAAGATGAAATTCAAAAACTAAAAAAAAAAAAACTTACAGTATTATAGATTTGTTTATTTCGGTTCTCCCTCAAATATATATTTCTTCATTTAGTTTTTTTTTTTTTTTTTTTTACTTTTATGACAAATTTATGTTTGAAATGGAGTTAGAATTGAAGCACATGTGAAACCCAACTCTGTTTCTTGGTAAATTTTGCATAATTTTTAAATTTTTTGGGACAAAATATATAAAAAGATAAAAAAAAAATGATGTAATAATTTATAATGACTTTTTAATGAAAATATTTTATTTCCAAATAAGGCCTTAATGTGTGGTATTTTATTGGATAATTTTTTTTTATTTTTTGCTACAACAAATCGATATTAGTCCATTGACTTGAACTCGATACTTTACGTCAAAGGCACTTGAATACTCCCTCATAAGAGCATCTCCAACGGTGACTCAAATTTTTCACCAAATCTGAGTAAAAAATGACTCATTTCACCAAATTTGATACCACTCACTCCAACGGCTCACCTTTCACCAAATCTATCCCGGGACAACCGGGTGGTCGATCGGTCGGTTGACCGGTTAGGCAAAAAAATTTTTTTTTTTTTTCGCGAATTGTCTGAACTTTTTTTTGAACTTTCTGAACTTTTTTCGGGACGACCGGGTGGTCGACCGGCCGGTTGACCGGTTAGGCAAAATTTTATTTATTTATTTATTATTATTTTTTTTTTACGGTTTGAACTTTTTTTCTGAACTGTTTGAATCTTTTACTGGTCGACCAGTTCTTCAACCGGTTGGTCTCCCTCCAACGGTCACCAACAGTGTTTTGGTGAAATCAGTATTTCGTCGTCAGTTTGATAAATTTTTTGATGAAATCTCAATCTGATATTCATTTGGTGCAACCGTTAGAGCAGTGAACAACAATTTTTTCATCAAAATTTGAATTTGATATCAGTTTTGGTGAACTGTTGGAGATAGTCTAACCATTTGAACTATAACTGGGATCTATTTGATGATACATCTTAGGGTCTTTTGGCAACGAGTTAAAAAAGTCAATTTTTTGATTTGTTAATTTTTTTACGCAATAAAATCATTAAAAAAAACAAAAAATTAAAAAGTCAATTTTTCTGTACTTAGGCCTCGTTTGGGAACAGGCTAATTTAGTAACTTTTTGGCTATTTGGCTAAAAAGATAGGTAAAAAAAACTTGTATGTTTGTGATGACTTTTTGGCTAATTACGAAAAGATGTGCAAAAAGTAGAGAGAAAAGAGAATCTTTGACTTTTTGGTATGGGTTGTTGACTTTTTGACTAATTTAGTAACTTTTTGACTAATTGGCTAAAATAACCTCTTGCCAAACGAGGCCTTTTTATTAACTTTCCAAAACACTCTTTATTACACATATTTTTTCTGCCTCATAATAAACTGGGAGGAAATCCGCTTTATTTGTTCTGCTTCCATTATGATTATATTAATTAAATAATTTTTATATATTTATCTATCTATGTATAATTTAAATTATTTAGTATAATCCAAATAAAATATTGAAACATTTGTGTATATCATTTTTTTTACCTCTTTATCTCTTATCTTCAACTTGTAACTCTCAGATTAATTTGTGTATAGTTTCTATCTTATTAGTAACTATCCCTTTACTAAGGATTATTTTGAGAAAATGGTTATAATCAGCTAAAAAGTTGCTTATAAACAGTTTTTTTGTGAAAGATGAAGTGGGTTATAATCTAAGAAGTGGATTATAACTCACTTTTCAAAATATGCCTAAGTTTAGCAAATTTTCCTAGCACTTCTTTGGTCTCACCTCATCCTCGTTACCTCTTTGATTTTTCTGCTTCTTCTCTGCACCTATAAAAAACGAGACAAGAGTGGAACACAACAAATTTAATTTTGCCCTATTGCCATTTTTTGATATCTAAAATTTAATATTCAAATTTATCCACTATAGTAATTAATTGAAGCATTCTATACTCATAAATCCATTTTAATGTAAATTTGCCAATAATATATTGCGGTAATCATTTGGCTTTTTTTAGTAGAAACATTTATGGTGAGCTTGTTGTAGAACATAAAAACCATTGCCCAAAACATACTAGAAGTTACTTGAAATTATATTCGACATCAAAATATGTAGTTGATATAGAAGTGTGTATCCCACGATCTTCTTTTTGTAATTTTGCATGATGTGTATTGATTAGCCCCTAAGAAAAAGTTGTTAAAAGTAAGGTTGAGTGACGAGACAAAAAATGTATCATGTTGCACTCCAGTTTGATGTAGAAAAGATTGGTCTCACATTTAATATATATTTCAATAATGACGTGTCACACTAAAAACATTATAACAAAGTAAAAGAGCATCCGCAACATTTATTTTAAAGAAAAGTGTCAAATAAATAAAAATTATGAAGCAAGTTAAGAGTTTTAGTATGACGGAATATTCATTCAATGAGATGCAATTATATTATCATTTGCATGTTTTAATTATTAAGTGGCCATATAATTATATGATATTCTCTAAACACTTAGAGGGATATAATATATTATTGGTTCTAATTATTTCAATAAGATTTTATTTTAATTTCATTAATTTAAAAATTTGCCTATCCCTGGTACAACAATAGAAAAGATGAAAGATTCCAATTACAAACTAATGGAGTTGAAGTAATGCATACCAAGAACTTAAAAATGTACTTTTTCAAATTGAATTTGTAGACATGTCCATGTGGAACTTGTATTTACCAAAAACCTTTCAGTCCGAAATAGAAATAACAACAAAAATAAATAAAATATAAAAAAAGTTTGGCAACTACATCCACTTTTAAAAAGTTTAATAATTGAATTAAAAAATCCTGTTGGGAGGTTGTAATTTGTCATAAGGGCTAAAGCCATTAATAGAAGGATAGACTTTTAAGTATCGAATGGATCATATTCGATTCTTGAATGTGCTTGAATTCTTGTGATAGCGTCTTTAACTGTTATACGGTTATAGAACTAGTTAGTTTGCAAGCTACCAAGTGGCTAACCCTTGATTGTTATACCCAACCAAAAAAACCCTTGGTTGTTGAAGGGTTATAATATCACCTTAATAATTTAAATTATTTAATATTTTATAGTTATTAAATAAATTATTTATATAAAAAAATTAATTAATTGAACAATGAAACGATTTAAGAATTATTTTGAATATGATTTATAAGTTGAAATTTTCGTTTATTATCAACAAAAAAAAAAAAAAAAATGTTCAAAATTTCCATTTTCATGTAGTTTTTGATTAGTCCTATCATTTCATATAAAATACTGTTGTATTTTTTTTCTTTTTTTATTGAGTGCCATGTCATTAGTGATCTTTTTAGAGCTCAAAAATTAGTGGTCTCTATCATTGTTGATTTCACATTTTATTTTTAATTTTTTTAGTAATGTTGGGCCCATGATTGGTGCTGACAAAATTGAGTCAGGTAGTTAAAAAGTTACACTGTCTCTTTGTCTTTTGTAGTAGTTTTATTAACTAGGAACAAGAGCCACGTGCTCTCTATCTACCTCGGATAACCTGCTCTGTGAATGCTATTTTCAATTTTTTAAAAACAAATTAACAAAATATTAGGGTACAAGATCATAAATTATACCAGCTGGAATTACATGGTTCGGAGTGCGTACTATTTTTTTTAATCAAATTGAAATGTGTACTATATGTCATTTTGTTACTATTTTTGAAATTATTGATTTTTATCTATTAGGGTATTAGTTTTGACTAATTGTGATGTTAATTATGATATTATTTTGATTATAATAAAAAAAATTAATTATACCTTATGTAATATTTAGTTATAGTTTGATGATACAGTTTGTTCTAGTGAATGGATCGGACAGGTCCAAGCTCTTCAGGCCCATGTCCAAATAATCAAGCCCACCGGATAACCTACAAACAAGTCCAACGGGGAACGGGGTAGTCCCCCAGTGAACCCTCCAACGAGCAACTTAGAAAGAGAAGTAGGGTGTAGAGAGAGATTAGAGATAGAAAGCTTAACATTCTTCTTGTCTTCAACGTTAACTTATATCCTTTGGTAATCATTTCGCTGTCCCTTCCGACCTGCCCTTCTCGTCGAAAGTCTATGCTGTAGCTTACCTTGTTCAGGGTAAGGAGGTTCTGTTCCGACGGAAAGGTGTTGTCGTAATAAATGTTGTGATGGACTGCATTAATGGTGATGTGCAGTAGCAATAACTTTGTAGATCTTTGTCTGCTGATGTGGCTCGTCCTTCACCTGCCATATGTCTGAATGTCATTGGCTCTTTATGCCATGTTGGATTCCAGCTGTTCTGGACCTCACCAGGGACGGGGAGGGTGATCCCCGGCCCCGCCCCGCCCCGTTGCCATTCCTAGCTGGGTAATGTATTGGGCTCCAAATGATGGGCTTGGGTTGTTCATAGTGATTCATGGCCTTTATGGGCTTATACACATCAGTAGTCCCCCATTCCCGAGTGCAGCTTTAGTCTAACGAAGGGAATACTAATGAAGAAGATGAGGGTGTTAGGGATTGGCAGGATGGTGGTCGACCGGCAGGGGTGACCGAGAGGGTGAACTGACCGGGAGGTGGTCTAACCGTGCAGGGTGACCAAGTGGAAGGGCCGACCATGAAGGATGGCCGAGTGGGAGGGTCGACCACGAGGAGGGCCGACCGCGAAGGGTGACCGAGTGGGAGGGTCGACCACGAAGGGTGAGGTGGAGGGGCGTGGGGCTCGAGAGGCGACGTGTCACGTAGTGATTTGAAGTGGAAAAGACAGGATAAGGGGAGAATACAGTGGATCGTGGTCGTACACGTGGCAACATCCCGAGGGAAGAAGATTAGGCGTTGGATCAGAAATGAAACGATAGATCATTATGAGTGTTGAAAAGACAGTTTTGGTGGATATTTTGAAAAGTTTTCAAATTGGCAAAAATTAATTGTGACCCTTGGAATACGGGTAAGCCTTGGGCTTTTGGGATTATTCAATTCACCTACTTGTTTGCAAAAAATCAAAACATCCCAAGTGTTAACTCCTTTGTTGCTCACGATACACTTCTGCAACACTTTTTCG